CCAGTGTATAAAGAGAGTCCATGTCACTAAGAGAGCCTGCTGGACCCCGAGTCGAGCTCAGAGGGATCTCAGAGACTGTGAAAGCATAACCGCCATCACTTCCTTTTCTTTTAAGCAGGGAACCCGACACAAACACAGATATTTTCATGGCCTTGGAAGCTTCCTACTTCTCTACCACAATGACCACACAGACTGAGGAACACACACCTGACGACGTCCACGGCTCCGGGCCGCACTTTGGGGTAATGACCACACAGACTGAGGAACACACACCTGACGACGTCCACGGCTCCGGGCCGCACTTTGGGGTCACTGCCCATGATTGAGACGCTGGCTGCGAAAGAGCCATCGATGCTGAAGACCACGCATTCCATTCCACGCGGGAGCACCGTCAGGAAGGCTTCGGCACACGTCTGGTCACCCCTGGCGGGAACGGCAGACGGGCAGCGGTAAGGGTGTCTGCAGAACCTTCTGGCAAAGTCTGTTAGAGCAGCGAGAACTTGGACGAGGATCCAGATTGAATCTGGTCACTCCATACGCTGATCCCAGCAGCAAAGCATGCCTAACAGGGCCCAGTGCATTGTGGGACTTAATAACTAGGTAATTAATAAGGAATGAACAGATAAACGACTTCAAATGAATAACGAGACTAGAAATATCTGCTGGTGATGCTTCATGGAGTCGTTTCTGGACCTGATGAGGAATGAAATGGGTGCCATTTTGCTTTAGGGTGGAGATCCCAACACATGGGTAGAGGTTTCCACTCTGACACTACAGACAGTTCTGTCGGCTCATGATCATCTGTGTCACCATGCAGTGACGTGGGATAGGGGCGGCAGTACTTGCTTGACCACCATCCTGATGGGGTAGACGCCCACGCCCAGCTTCTTCTCCTTGGGGATTGTGTAGGTAACCCTGCCGCTACTACTGGTCACCTCTGTGTCGAACTGTACCCAGCGTCCTGACTGGGGCTGGGTCATCAGGAGCACGTCCACCTAGGGGGCATGGGGTGGGAGGCTGGGGGTGAGGCGGACAGGAGGCCAAGCCAAGGGAACGCTGAGACACCGGCGGTTTGGGCTTCACCTTCTCTCCCGTCAGGGTCACCATGTCCAGGGGACCGTACATGAAACGGCCAACCAGGATCTGAGGGCCGTCCTCGGTCGCGATGACATCATTCACCCTATGGTTGGAGGTGACGTTCTGCCCGGGGCGGGGGGAACAAAAGCAGCAGCAGAGAGTTCAGCTCAGCATCTCCTCGCATCGTCTTGCTCACCACGCTATAGATCGCAATTCCAACCCTCCGTCAGTCCAGAGAACCTTCTGAGATCTTCAGAAAAAGCACTAAAAAATAATAAGATCTAACTACTAGTAAGTCACCTTACTGCTCGTTCTGTGTCAAGGCCGTGAGTCACCAGATTACATCAAAAAATAATCCGGCCTCCATGGTTTAAACTATCGACCCGCTGTGGGTGTTGTGCTATTCATCAAGCGCCGGTTTAACAGCCAGCTGCTGCAATCGATCACAATGCGATTCACATTTTCCTCCCATCAACGCGGCTTGTGAAGCAGGCAGTACCACTGCTCTCCAGGAGAGGGAGCCATATCATTGCAGCCTCTCCATTCCTTCCCAATAATTCATGGTTCTAGACCTCAGAGTCTTGGGAATATAAGACCCCCTGAATCTCTCCTGATGTGAAAGGATTTTAATGAGAAATTAAAGCAGCTGAGATGGTGCTTTAACTGCGATGAGCACCATCTCCCCTCCCTTTAGATCCAGGGGTGCGCACTCCTTCCAGAGGCTCGTGGTTTGGTGCGGTGGGCATTTGGACTCAAGCGGCACCGGCTAATGTCTACCGCGGTTCCACGCAAGCCATTTACCATAACCTCTTCATGTACGGCATCCTGCCGACACTCGGAACACATCATATGGTATTTCCAAGGGACCGACCATTCCATTGGCTCCCATTTTTCAGTTAATGAACCAGTTATCAAACATTTCTTGGGCTAAATTTACTTGCATATGTATAAACGCAGATAAATGCTCCAGCCCAGAGGATTTGTTAACACTGCCCCCTGCTGGTATGCTGGGTGTAGGACATGCCGCCCTTTGGATATCCAGAAAAACACCCCAATCAAGGAGGTCGCAAGTCACATGGCATTGATTGGAGTAGCCTGGTGGGAAAATGACCCTAAAGATTAATCCTGAGCCAGAGGCGAGAGCACAGAGCATCTGGATTTTTCCTCATATTCCAGTGGGAAGAGACTGTGACCTCATGGCTACGTGCCTAACTCAATGCGACCCGCCATCTGCATCGTATTTCCATGGCATGTGGGCCAGCCTGCCTGCCAATGCACCCGCATGGGACTGGGGCTTGACTGGTCACACTGGTATTTAGCTCCACTGTACTCTACTGGGAATGGTTAGGGCAGACCGGCTGAGTCTGCTGGGAGACAGAGGTGGTGTCTTTTTGCACTGGAAAGCTGGACGCTGTGCCAAGTGAAAGTCGGGGCATCTCGACCGTTTACCAAAAGGCAATGAGCCCCGAAAGCAATCTGGAGTCACATACCAGTAACTCCCATTAAGATTCACCTCACCGACTGAAGCGAATGCAGTTTTTGCCAGCAATGACGTGCCACGAGTGCCGGCACTCTCTGGACCCAGTAATTTTGTCTGCGAATAGTGAGAATCTCATTGCTCATTCAGCGAAGCCACTTTAAAGCAGAAAAAAATCTCATCAAAGTTCACCGACAGCCAGTGCCGGCCCGGTCTGATCGCCGAACACCGGAATACTCCCGCTGCTCCCGTCACTGGAGTGTTCCTTTTCCACTCCGCCTTCGGAAATTGTTTCAGATGTTCAAAGGGAATATTGTTATGCCCTCGGCAAGAGGGAGGGGGCATTTCAAGCCAAACGGACGGCAATTGTTGAACTCGCACTCAAAATTTTTGCCCAAGCATCAGACGAAGGGCTCTGTGGGAAGATGACGTTTGTCAGACTCGAACACAGTCTTTTGGAGACTTGTCACTAGAGCCTAACCGTAAAATAGAGACAGTGGGACTGAACCGCCAGACCGCATCGCATTCAGACAGCGTGCAGCGTGCGGCTGACAGCTCTGTTCAGGAGTGCTGAGTGTTTCTGCGTTCTCGTAAACATGTCTGTCTCTGGATGGAGCAGAACACCTCTCCAATGCCACAGCACCAGCTGGCACACTGGTACCCATCTCTCCTGAGCTGGAGCAGCTGGAAGTTGGGATTTGGTTAGCTTACCCGCAGCTTGACGTGAGTCCTCCTGCGCAGCCACTTCTCACGGGGGCTAGAGGGGGAGAAGGGGGCAGAGTCGAAGCAGTCGGCCTCCTGGGCTTTCAGGCAATCACAGCGCATCACCTGACGGTGAAACACACACCAGCCTCAGTGTCGACACCTTCGCCAGCATCAAAGCCAATGTCAACATCAACATCAATGTCAATGTCAACATCAACATCAATGTCAATGTCAACATCAATGTCAATGTCAACGTCAACATCAATGCCAATGCCAACATCAACATCAATGTCAATGTCAACGTCAACATCAATGCCAATGCCAACATCAACATCAATGCCAATGCCAACATCGACGTCAGTGCCCTCCATTGCTTAGCGAGTGTGACAGAATACTTTATAGCCCCCAGAATGTCCAGTCTCATTCATCATAGATGACTGACTAGCTTAATTAACTAATGTAATGTTTCGTGGCACTTCCAGTTCCTGGAGGAATATACAACTGTACTGGGTCTTCTGAGACATTCGCTATGGTACATAATAGAGGACCTGGACTTCAAGGACCTTCAACAACACTGAGCAGCCCAGGTCTGCAAGGCAAGTCAAGCAGCTCACCTGGCGAAGCACGAACGCAACCACGTCCGTAGATTCCCAGTAAGAAGCGTGGAAGAGGTGGGGAAGGGCCACCGTGGGGAAGGATGTAAGGACATCTGGGCAGTAGAGGGCATAGTCCAAGCGCTTGGTCCCCCACCAGGTGCTAGAAACTGAGAGAAAAACAAGACATATCAGGATAACCCACATCTCCGCACAGGTTCCTGTCATTAAGCATTGTTTGGTGAAGAATGGACTCTGAACCTACACCTCAGCATTGGACTGTTATAACTGAGGGGACACCAGACATGACTGGCATCAAACTTCTGACTTTTTCTTTACTTCTCTTTCTGCCTTTATGACCTTTAAGTTTTGACAACACTAACTTCTGTCTCACTAATAGGGCTCGTTCTCAATTTGAATGTTTAATGAGAGGAAGAGAGGAGGAGATTCATGGAGGGGTGAGGCAGCGAGGAACGGGTGGATCTGAGTGAGAAATGTGGATCTCAAGGATGTATGCAAATCGGACGACAAGATGTTTTGTTAGCCTTTAAAGGACACTGGAATAATAATACCACTGTCAATCATTTGGGGGAGGGGGGCAGTAAAAAAAAACAAAACCATGATACAGAAGCAGAGGGGAAAATGTTTCTGTCAGCAATAAAGTCTGTGTGAATAGTTTATGCTGCACCTCAGCCTGCCGTCCTTGACTTTATATACCTTTAAAGTCCATTCTCTCTCCTAGTAAAAAGCTGGCTTTGCTTTCAAGTGAAAAACTCATTCTGGTGGTTAATATACACATATACACAATGCTCTGATGTCATACACTGGCTTCTCTGATGTCATATGTGTATTGCTCTGATGTCATAATCATGATGCTTTGGTTAAGATCATAATGCTTTGGTCCGAAGCTGCATTAACATGTGAAGCATTTACAAATACAATAACTGAAAATGTCAGGGGCTGTTCCTGAACTCCGTGTTCTTCTTGGATGCTGTGTGATGTTCATGCTCACTGTTAGCGATGGTGCTGTTCAGTCGGTCGCTAGAGCAGGCCGAGGCTTCGCTGCCAACACTCGTCAAGCTGCCTCGCCGGGGACCCCCACCCGAATCCTCTCCCCCGGGGCCTGGCCCGTCCTCCGAGAACATCTCTGGATGGCTGTGGATGGTGTCGGCTGCAGAGGGGGGGACAGAGACAGTAGAGCTGTGGTGTTCATTCTACCTGGTGCTATAGGTGACCGTGGGGGAAAAAAAAAGAGTGACAGACAGAGAGTATGGGCCTATTCATACTTGTACCAGTTGCCTTGTTCCATGTGCGATCACGATTGCCCTGCCTTCCCACTCCCCCAGTGGTCTGCGCTCACATTACACTTAACCATCCTGGCCTGAGTATGCTTTCGTTATCATTATGAAGGAAAGCGCTGTCATTGACATCAGGTCTGTGTTCCGTACCCGGGCACAGTTAGCGATCACACTAGATGGGTACCGTGCCCAAGTCCAACTGGCCGTGCTCTGGCCCACCTCATCAATCGAGCCAGGACACGGTTAAGCACACCCGGGCATGGTACGGAGAGATCACACTAGTCAAACAAATTGGACTTGGGGTCAAAGATGCTCGGGCAAGGTTCGGATAGGCTAGTGTGAGCACACCTAAAGAGACAGACAGATACAGACAAATAGGGAGACAGACAGAGAGACAGATACAGACAAATAAGGAGACAGAGACAGACACAGACACACAAAAAGAGAGACAGAGGTTGACAGAGACAGATTGTCAGATGGACAGAGAGATACAGAGGCCGGAGACTGAGAAGGCCTGATAATCCATGGCCCCCACCTCCCACTCTGGTGTAGGCAGAATCAGCTCCTGATCTTTTGGAAGTGTCTGTTTCTGGGCAAACGGATCATCCATTGATCTCCCTGTTGGGACCACCTGCCCTGGTCCCCCAGCACTCTGCATGTCCCCCTGTGGGCCTGACTGACACTGACTCAGGCAGGAGCCTATCATGATATTGCGAGGTAACAGGATGGGACTGGGTTAAGGAGAAGGGGCTCCATCCATCCATGGGCTCCACTGCACTGCTCATTTCCCCAAAACAGCCCCCGTCTCCTCTCCACCTTCACGCTAATTAACCTGTGTCTCTCCTCCATGTCCTTTCAGCCACCACCCCATTTCCCCCTGGTGGGGTCCAACCTACACAATGCTGCTCCTCTGGGTCTCCATGCAATGCCATAATGCACAGCGACACGCCATTTGTAACTGCTGGAATCAGCGGCGAGGGGCCGGATCAGTGGGCAAAAAGGCAGGTTTGGTGTATAAACAAAGACACAGACACAAACACACACAGACACACACGGGGATCCGTGCACCATTCTACACACCAGCTGAGAGGAGAAGCATGGCTGTCCTGCTCTCTCCTCTGGCTCGTCCTGCTAACCGGACTTTATCACACTCCCTGCCCACGTTGGGCTATTCAACTGACCGGCGAGTCATCTGCTCAGGTCCATGCTCCACAGCACCGGGCCGCACCTGCACCTCGCGAGCCTTGCAAACTGAGTGAGGCGCACCCATGTTCGTCAGTGTATCATTTAATTGATCTTTCCTATTTTTCCCCGGTGATTCATGCTGAACAGACAACGCGGGAAAATTCCGCCACTGAATCCCAGGGTTTTGGGAAGACAGGGAATTTGTGTAGTTTTCAATCAAATCCTGGAAGGGGCTGTAAACTGGCTGGGAGAGAAGCCAGAGATAAGGGAGATGTGTAGCATTGCATGCTGGGTAAGGCTGTGTACGCGAGCACTTAGCAGAAGCTGTCCGCTACTGTGTACCTCTAACTCTGCTCATGCCTGGAGATCAAACTGAAGTCCACAGGTGGGTGATAAAGAACCCATTAATACTCTGCCCCCCCCACCATGTGGTAGCATTTTTTTTAGCAATAGTGGGGGGGGGGGGTGATTGGGAAGACCACCTTTTTCCAGAGCATACTGGGAATTTTCCCAGTGCATATTGGGAAGGAGCCCAGAAAATACTGGGAAGGATCCCAGTGCATACTGAGAAGGACACCCAACCCTCCAAATGGTAAGTGTGCCCATGCACCCTCACAGGAGGGGAGGCAGCGAGGGAGAGAATGAAGGGAACGAGATATTGGTAAACGTTTAGGAGAAGGGGGAAGATAAGGGCATGAGGGTGCCATGGGGGAGGGGGGCAGCATTCACCAAAGAGTCCCAGAGCCCATCTTCCCCCCACCCCCACATCTCAGAGCTGACAGATCCCACCTGTGATCCCATCCAACATCCCATTAAGGCAAAGCTGTCACTGGGTTTCTGTGACACCCCGCCCCCCTGCCAGCTTCTCAGGCTTTTTCATAGGCCAGGCTGGTAGACAAAGGCATGATTCTTCAGGTGTGATCAGCAAGATGTTATTGGTCAGTGATGACCCTTCAGGCATGACCAACAAAGATGTGATTGGTCAGTGATGACCCTTCAGGTGTGACCAACAAAGATGTGATTGGTCAGTGATGACTCTTCAGGTGTGACCAACAAAGATGTTATTGGTCAGTGATGACTCTTCAGGTGTGACAAACAAAGATGTGATTGGTCAGTGATGACTCTTCAGGTGTGACAAACAAAGATGTGATTGGTCAATAATGAATAACTGGGGCCAGTGTGTGGCTCAGTGGGCTAAATCTGTGTGCCTATAATCAGAAGGTCACTGGTTGAGCAAGGCCCTTAACACCCAGCTCCCTGGGCGTCACTATGGGTTGTTGCCCTTCGCAGACAACTTATTCTATGAAGAGCAAATTGGGGGAGGTGTAAAGATAATTTTCCCATGGGGATCAATAAAGTATTTATTATTATTATGACTAACAAAGATGTGATTGGCCAGAAATGACTGACCCTGACTGAAGGGAATAATGTCAATTTTCAGTGACTATCACTGTCGGGGGCAGTGTGCGGCTCAGTGGGCTAAGCCTCGGTGTCTGTGGTCAGAAGATCGCTGATTTGAGTCCTTAACCCCCAGCTCCCTGGGCACCACAACAGGAGGTTGCCCTTCACAGCCAGCTTGCTCTCACTGACAGAGAGCATGTTGGTGGAGGTGTAAAGAGGATTTCCCCATGGGGATCAATAAACTATTAATTATTATCATAGGAGTGAGAAGGATGTACACATGGGCAGAGATGGTACATAAAACCACAAACAAAAAAGATGCAGGCCGCCACAGGGGGAAACTTGTCTGTGTGTTCATGTGTGTGTGTGTGTGTGTGTCTGTGTGTGTGAGTGTCTGTGTGTTTATGTGTGTGTGAGTGTCTGTGTGTTTATGTGTGAGTGTCTGTGTGTGTGTGTGCCTGTGTGTTTATGTGCGTGTGTGTGTCTTTGTGTTTATGTGTGTGTGTGTCTGTGTGTGTGAGTGTCTTTGTGTTTATGTGTGTGTGAGTGTCTGTGTGTTTATGTGTGAGTGTCTGTGTGTGTGTGTGCCTGTGTGTTTATGTGTGTGTGTTTATGTGTGTGTGTGTGTCTGTGTGTTTATGTGTGTATGTGTGTCTGTGTGTTTATGTGCGTGTGTGTGTCTGTGTGTTTCTGTGTGTGTGTGTGTCTGTGTGTTTATGTGTGTGTTTATGTGTGTGCGTGATGAATGGGTTCTGACACACTTCGCTTAAGTCTGGGTGATAATCCTGGACCCCCTTCTCCCCCATCTGCAGGCCACATTGGGCTCTTTGCACCTGGGGGGGCTACGACGGCAGCAGCACCCCCCCCCCCAATAAGACTGGCCCCTCACTGGTAGGGAGACCCCAGGCCGCCCGACCCCCACACTCTCTGAGGAGTGTACGCTCATTCTAGCATCTTAATTACTCAGAAATGTCTGTCATTCTGCTCACTTTATTACATCTCATTTGATTCGTAATTATGAACAGCTGGTTCCATGACGACCAGGGCCCCCATCGGCCATCTGGTCCTGGGCTCCTGGGGGCCACCTGCTCTGGCGCTGTGACCCCCCCCAGAGCGGGAGGAGGGGGCTCACACTGCTGTTCCGTCCCCTACGCCATATCACTGCAGCGAACACTACATTACTGCCTATGACTGTATCTCCTCTAATGTGATGTAGCTGGAGACTAATACTGTAAAGTGTCAAATATATTTCAGAATTTCAAATGAAAGGAAAATGGGAGCACTAAGAGAATGGCTTCATGTCTCTTTCATGTCTGCAGGTACTGGCATCCTGAAAGCCGGGGCCCAGGCAATTGGTGTAACATCGCCTGCATGGTCCCAACAGACATGGTTTTTGTGGGTGACGCGAGGGCAACAGCACCCCCTGCTGGCAGAGTCCTCACCGCTGGCGTGTTTGTTTGCCGCTGATCGTCCTCTAAAGGGGTGAGTGGGAGAATGAAAGATCAGGTAATGACAAAAGGAACACAGTGCCCAGGTTGGGGGGGGGGGGGGGTCACTGGTGGCAGTAAGGTGACAGATCAGAACAGGCAGGGGGCTTTGCTAATGTGCGGCCTGGTGGTGGTGTGGGGGGGTAGGCTCTGTTTGTGTGCCACCTGCAGCCCGATCGGGGTGGGGGGGTGGAATTTGGGGCAGGTATTACACCCGGCAGGGAGGCTGCCCCCCCCTCTCCAGCCTGGGGCTGCTCCGGTCAGGCACAGACCCCCCCCCCCGCTTACGCCCAGACTGCATCTCTCTGCTGACGCGTACGAGCGCAAGGACTTGGGTTTGCATCAGAGGCTGTGCCATTTACACTTTCCCCCAAACTTTCTGGCCTCCTTTTCGGATCTCAGGGATGCTCCGTGCCAACTGCTGCAGGGGAATGCAGTGGGAATGCGGCCGGAATGCGGCCGGAATGCGGCGCTAAACCTCGAAGCTGCAAAAAAACGCACCTCTGCTTAACTGCCAGTCTCATTAGACACCGGAGATTCTCTCAGCGCCCCCCAGTGGTCCCCAGCATCACTGCACTACCCCTGTGCATGACAAGCTACTCCCAAATGGCCCCGGGAGGAAGGCAGAGAGAGACGGCATGTCAGAGGTGCCCGGAGAGGGGAGGAATCTCAATGCATGTTAAATATAACGTCAGATATCAGAGGAAAAAACAATGTTTGATGTTCAGCCTGAGACGGACAGTGACACAGATTCCACCCCCACAGTCCATCAACCCCAGGGTGCACGTGCGCGTGCGCGTGTGTGTGTGTCCACACCCCGATCCTAAAGGGTAAAAAGAAGAGGCCAATTCACTTCTGGTTTATAAACCATTTCCCATCTGTGGTGTTAGGTTATGAATGAGGGACAGCAAGGTCACTCACCTATCAGTGTGCAGCGTCCGTCCCCCAGTGGGTAACGCTGGTAACGGGGCACGGCAAAGGGGGGCAGCCGGTGAAAGCGGGGGCTGAGCAGGGGCTCCAAGCGGGAGGCAGAGGGGTCCGAGGGGTAGAAGAGGTTGTAGATCTGTGAGCAGGCGGGCCGGAGCTGGGTCACTGGGGGGGAGAACAGGGGTCACTGAAGGAAGAACCAATCCTGCCAATCATCAGCAGCACCCAAATTAGGTCTGCATGAGGCGTGGCTAACAGTGAGCCAATCAAGTTAGAGGATGACTATGACTGACAGACAAAAGAGGGAGGTGCCGCGGTGGTTAAGGTGAGCCCCGGCTGTCCGAAACTCAGGAAGGGAAACTCAGCTGTAGAGCTGAAACTCAGGTCTACTGAAACTGATAAAAGCTTCAGAGAAAATGAGCAAGTAAATACAAAGGTGTCACCTTGGATAGCGGGCAGCACAGTGCGGCGCATAGCCAGCACCAGGCCCAGCGGGCAGCCCAGCAGGAAGCAGTCAGAGACGGGGAAGTCAAAGTGGCCCGGGCTCAGGAGACTGCTGTTACTGCCTGGGCGTGGAGGGGCATCCTCCTGCACGAGACTGGGGGGGAGAGACAGGGCGGGGGGGAGGGGGGATGGAGAGGGGAAGGGGGGAGATAGAGGGAGAGACAGGGCAGGAGAGAGGGGGGATGGAGAGGGGAAGGGGGGAGATAGAGGGAGAGACAGGGCAGGAGAGAGGGGGGATGGAGAGGGGAAGGGGATAAAGGAGACAAGGGAAAGAGGAGAGCGAAAAAGGGGGGAGGGAGAGAGTGGGAGGGAGAGAGGGATAAACAGAGTGACTTTACTAGCATTAACTTGCTTTTCTAAATTAACCTGCAACAAACAAAGAATGTGGAACATGCTCCAACTGCGAGACATGAGAGACGTAAAGAGTGACAGCAAAGAAACGCACTCAAGGAGAGAGACGGACGCGTTTCCAACCCGGGTCATGAACACAGCGCGCGCCGGCGTCGCTGCCCATTCACAATCAGCATATCAGCCTGCAACAAAGACAGTTAGACAGCCAGCACCCTCCGCATCCAGGCTGCTGCACCTGGGGGCGCAGCAAGGGGGGGTAAAGGGCAGCGGGGTGTGGGACTGACTCTCCATCCAGGAAGTACGACCCCCTGTACCAACTGACAGTGATGCATGATCAAACTTGAGAACTAGAAGCTCAACAACAAAAATAAAAGGGGGGGGGGTGAGCTGATCATAAATCAGCCATCAAACTAGAAACGCTGAGAGGCTGGAGGCTACTGCTTACACTGCCCCAGGCCCCAGACCACGGCAAGGTGCACATCAGCCAAAATGCTACTGGAACTGTTTTTAAAGGAAAAGACCAAATGACAAGGGAATCCAACACTGAATGGCAACACATTAAAAAAACATTTAATTTTAATCAAACCTGAACTGAACAAGGACCAAGACCCAGCAGATAAAATGATCACACTATAAAATCTATGTATACTGACAATAACTGCTGCGTTAAAACTGGAGAAGATGATTTCCCTACTCAGGGGCTTAGATGAGCTTGAGTCCAGTATTCTCAGCCATCTCAATCAACGGTTCTGGAGCAGTTGGCAGCCAGGGGACACCCCGGTGCTGGATTGGTGAGTGCCGCATAGCTGCAGACACGGGCTGGACCAGGAGCACCAGGGGTGTGACACCAAACACACCCCTCCATTCCAGCCAAAACTCCTCTCCAGCACAGGCATTTGTTCCTCAAAATAGCTGGCCAAAGTCTCGACCAATCCACCCTCAGCGTGTGTCCAGCGAAAGCTGAGTGCTGAAGACTGCCCCCTAGTGGCAGAGGAGAAAG